AAAATGAGAGAGCTGTATAATGGCTAGATAAATTCTCCAAACATCCTTGGCTGACTGGGAAACTATACATGTGTGGGGAAAATCTGAGAGAACTCAGCATAGAGTAAAAGCTGAGGTAGAAATGAAAACGGACTGCACTCTGAATGTACTCCGCAGATCACACACAGATCCATCAGCTGAGGATGGAAGCCCAAATCGCTGACTGACCACTAAACTGTGCAGACACACAGGCAAACCCTTAGAAGCCAGGCTAAAAGGTAAAACTCAAAGTTAAACTGAGCAGAGACATCAACAGTCATAATGTGGGGAGGTGGAGTTCACAATTTAAGTCCAGGCAAATCACTTTTAAAATGACAACAATATTATTGAGAAGGGAATCAGAACCCAGAGTTGTTACAACAAATTATCTAAATTATCCAATTTTCCACAGGAATATATTATGACAAAAAAAAAAAAAAAAAGAGGAAAGTATAACCTATACGCAGGGAAAAAGTGGTCAATAGAAACTGACTCTGAATAGGCTCAGATGTTGAATTCAGAAGACAGAAGCTTAAATTCTTTAAATATGCTCAGTAAGTTAAAAGAAACTATTATTCGGAGACTTAAAGGAAAATGTGATGACAATGACTTACCAAATAGGGAATGTCTGAGGAGAAATAAACAATTTTTAAAAGAATTGAGATGGAACAAGAAACCATCAGTGAACTTGTAATAGAACAATAGAAATTATCTAATTTGAAGATCACAGAGAAAAATATTGAAGAAAATGGAACACACAGAGACCTATAGCACATCAAATGTACCAACATACATGTAATGGAGTTTCTGGAAGTAGAGGAAAAAGAAAATAGGGAAAAAATTTTTGAAGAGAATATGGCCCCAAATTCCCTAAACTTTATGAAAAACATTAATTTATAGAAGAATCTCAATGAACTCCAATTAAGATTTTTAAAAAAGAGATTTACGCCTATACTCCCTGTAGTCAACAAAAGATGTGCAAGACCTGTTCACTGAAAACTACAAATATTACACAGAGACATTTAAGAAGACCTAATAAATAGAAAGACATACCACATTTGTGAACCGGAAGATTCAACATGGCAATTATTCCCAGACTGACCTACATATTCAATGCGAAATCCCTATCGAAATCCAAGCTAAATTTTTCATGCAAATTGATAAGCTGATCTAAAAATGTATATTGAAAGGCAAAGGACCTAGAATAGCCAAAATTATTTTAAACTACAATAAAGCTGAAGGAGTTACTCTAATTTCAAAATATACTATAAAACTATAGCCATCAAAACTATATGGTATTGGTTTGCTTAAAAAATAGTGTAGATTTCAAAAGAACACAATAGAGAATCCAAAAAACCCCAATTTATATTTATGGCTAATTCATTTATTTATACAACATTTCTAGAAAAGGCAAACTCATAGTAATAGAAATCATATCAGTCATTTCCTGAGTGTGGGGCTGGAAGTGGCAACTGACTGCAGATGGTACAGGAGGATGACTCTTTGGAGTAAAGGAAATATACTAAAACTGGATTGTAGTGGTTAGTATAAATTTACCAGAAATCATTAAACTGAATGCTTATAGTGTGAGAGTTTTATGTATGTAAATTAAACATCGATAAAGCTTTTTAAAAAATGACAAGATTTTTTTAGAAAACTACATATTCGGAAAATTCAAAATACACTACCATATGAAAGAGTAAATATTCAACCTAATAGAGAAGAAAGGCTGAACATTATGCATTAAATTTCCAACTTAAAAAAGTTTAAAAGAACATTACGTGACCCATAGAAAGCATAAGAAAAGAACTAAAGATAAACATAGCAATCAATGAATAAAAAATAAAGTAAAAAAAAAGAGAAGCAAGAAAGCCAAAATCTAGTTATTTGAAAAACAACAAACCCCTACTAAGACCAATGAGAAAAGCAGAGAAGGCACAAATATAAATAATATTATGAACTGAAAGATAATATAATACTTTAAACAATGTTATGCTCTAAATTTAAACTTAATTTTTATTTATTTAAAAATAAAATACCTATGCAAAAGACATAGGACTTAGAATGGGAACAATAAAACTCATTCACAGATGATGTGACTACCTACATAAAAAAGGAATCTATAATCCACTGGAATTAAGAGAGTCTAGTAAAGTGGCCATATATAAAACAATAAAACAAAATTTATTTCATTTCTATACATTATCAATGGTTAGAAAATATATTTTTTAAAAGTTAACAGATGTCACACCTACAATGATGAATATAATCAAAAATTTAGACAGTAACAAGTGTTGACAAAGATGTGAAGAAATTGAAACCCCCTTGTCTGCTGGTGAGAATATAAAATAGTGTATCTGTTTTGGAATACGGTTTGGCAGTTTCTCAAAAATTTAAACATACAGTTACCATATGACTCTGCAATTCCACTCTTAGGAATATATCCAAAATAAATGAAAACATGTTCACACAAAAACCCATACTCAGCTGTTCACAGCAACATTATTCATAATAGCAAAAAAAAAAAAAAAAGGAAAGAAAACAATCTAAATGTCCATCAACTGATGAACAGATAAACAAAATGTGGTATATTCATACAATGGAATATTATCCAGCAATAAAAAGAAATGAAGTACTGATACATGCTAAAACATTATGCTAAGTGGCCGACATATTATGATTCCATTTATAGGATGACATGTCCAGAATAAGAAAATAAAGTGGATTAGTGGTTAAAATATAAACAATGAAATTAAACTATAAATCAATAACAGAAAGATAGCCGGAAAATCCAAAAATACATGGAGATTAAGTGTGAATTGAATAAAAGTATTGTACCAATGTTAAATTTCCTGATCTTGATAAAGGTACTGTGGTTAATAAGAGAATGTCCTTTTTCTTAAGAAATATACACTAAATATTTAATATAAGGGTATAAGGAGCACAGTATCTGCCATTCATTCTCAAATGATTCAGAAAAATTTATATACATATACACAAAGTACAAATGATAATGCAAGTATGACAAAAGCAAACCATTGATGAACCTCAGTAAAGGATATTTAACAGTTCTTTGTACTGTTCTCGCTATTTTCCTATAATTTTGGATTTATATCTAAATAAAAAGTTGCCAAAATAACTACAGAGTAAAAAAAAAAAAAGTTAACAGATGACACAAAGATACTAAAGAAACTTGGAGGTGGGCATATGGCTGTTCTCCGAGATATTCTTTCATCTTTGCTTTATGTTTGAAAATTGTCATAATAAAATGTTGGGAAAGTCAAGAGGTGTTAACATTTACAATAATACCAAAATGATTAGGTAGCTAAAAACAAATCTAACGAAAGGTTGTAGCCTTTTATGGAAAAAAAAAAAAAAAGCCTTAAACATTTTTAAAAGACATTAAAGAATACCTAAACAAATGGAACAGTATACTTTATGCTTGAATAGGAAAACTCAGTACATAAAGATGCCAATTCTGTCTGCAAAACTGAAAACAAAACAAAACAAAACAAAAAAAACAAGGAATGATAAAACTTAACATGAGTTTTGAGATAATTAAAAAGCTCATTTTAAAAGACTGAAAGAGAGCCAAGACACTCCTACGGAAGAAAAATATGTTGGAGGAGTTGCCATCCAGAAAGGTTTATTCTAAAGCTATAGCAATTAGTACGATATTTGTGTAAGGAAATTCTACATGATCAGTGGAAACCCAGACATCTATTTCTGGATTATCTCTATTTACTTTGGTTATTTTGAATATCAATGCACCAATACCACACTGATATTAGTATTGTTCAGGTTCATAAATTGGGTGCTAGATTCCCAGGTGTTCATTTCATTATTATATTCTATAACTTATATGTTACATATATTCTTTCATATGTGGCCAGTATCAGTGTAAATTATTTTTAAATAAATGGCATAAATGTGGCTGGCCTCTAGCAAGCCTCGATCCAGGAATCTGAATGCCATTAGGATATATTTTATTTCTATTTCCTATTCCTATACTCTCTGCATGTTGACTATATTTTCTCAGGCTGCCTTTCCTCAAAAGGCGAGAAATATGGTTACAGTGGACTTATAGCTAACCAGTCATGCGACTAGATTGAAAAGTTCTTCTCTGGCAGCTCCAGTTAAAAAAAAAAAAAATGCCAGAGAAGTGTTCCAATTAGCTACTCTTATACCTAATATAGGAATGTATAGACCAATCAGAGTCACCAGGAGAATGGAATTCTGGGAATGGAGCAATTGGGTCATCTGCCTACCTGCAGTCAAAGGGACAATGTCTTTTACTAGAAAAGTTGGAGAAGTATTTAGGACACACAAAATATTCAGCTACTGCATGTGACAACTGCAACTCTGAGACAGGATGATGGGGTCAGATACTACTGTTACAGCAGCTTTTCTGGGATAAATGTTACAATAATCTGTCTTTTAATGGCTCCTGAAGTGTTGTCTTGTTTTCCTGGTGTATGTGTATTTTTTTTTTTTTTTTTCTGTAGCAAAGAATCATTTTACGTTCAGGAATTAGCAGAGAAGTTAGAGGAGTACATGAATGAAAATCTGTTTTATTTTCATGTGCATCACTCTTCAAGACTTAGCATCTTTATAAAATCTAATAAAAATTACAACTCACAACATAAGAAAGACTGACCTCGGCATTTACCTCTTTAATCCTTGACAATTTTTATATAGCTTTATTTTGTAAAAACTATAGATCCCATTTGTGAAACATTCAAGAAGTACATGAGAGCAAAGATAACAAAACCTGGAATTATCCCTACTATCTAGGGATAATTTCATTAATGTTTTGGTGAATCTTTCATAATTTTCCTAAGCATATATACATACATATGGATACAATTTTACATAATTGTTGAATCAGTCACTTTTGAAAGAAAACCTATACAACGTGAACATTTTATATCAACTGTCAAAAACCCTGCTCTCCAAAATAATTTAGTTTTTTTTGTTAATAGGTAATGTTACAAATATATTACAGGAAGCAGAAGTGCATTATATTTCTCGAAAAATTTGTAATTCTGAGATGGGTTATGGGGATATAATTCCTCAAACTTCGTTTTGTGCAGGTGATGAAGATGGAATTTTTGATACTTGCAGGGTAAGACCAAATAATTTTCCTTATAAATATATTCTAAAGCCAGAGAGAACCTGACCAAGGCATTTGATCACTTTCCAATGAAGTCTAATTTTCAAGTCTAAAAATACTAAATTCTTTTTTCTCCTTTTTAACTATTAAAACAATCCAAATCCTCTTGCTCTCCTATTTCCTTGGCTTCTACAATCATGGTCAACCTTAGGCAAAATTTGCACTTTTTCTTCCTTTTTTGTCATTCCCACCTTTATTGAGATATGATTTACATATGTACAATTCATCCATTTAAAGTGTAAACTTAATGAGTTTTTAGTATATTTATAGAGTAGTACAACTATCACCATAATCTAATTTTTTTCATTATTTGTATTCGATTCTGTTTTAATTTATTTTGTTATTTATTTTATGGTGACATTGGTTAACGAAATC